CCTGGAGGGTGGCGTTACGGGTGGGGGAAAAAATTCAAGAGCATGCAAAATACGCGCGCGACCGGCTTTTAATCCACCGGGCCGATTTCTTTTTTCCCTCCCTCCCTTCCTAGCCGTGAAAAAGTGATGAATTCAATCGCGAAGTTACGTATGTACACGAGAGAGTGTATACGCAAAAGTTACTCCGCGATGCACGAGCCAAAGTCGGTCGTGTTCAGAGGCTTCTTAGCTTCGCGGACAACTTTGCGGATGCGGCAAAGTTTTTGCCTTGACAAGCACACACAGTGCAGCCCTTACCCCATACTCCAAAGTTCCGCTGTTTCCCCGATCTTGGAGTGCGCGACATCAACTAGTTTATCTAACGTTTGTATCGAATTACGCGCTACAAAGCCTAATTGTCGTTGCAACGGTCCCAATGGGGAAAAAAGTTCTCGCCCCTACCAAGTTTTTCTGTTTTTTTTTTTTGTTTTTTTTTTTTTTTTTTTATCCAGAAGTAAACAAACCCTTGCGACTCTCGGGTACGTATTTGCCACTGAAATTTCGCCTCGATTGTTTATCGGGGCCAGCTCGGCGCGGCGGGGTAAAAAGAGCAGCGAGAGAAATTGATAACGAAAAGCTTGACAGTTGAAGGCCGAATGCGCACGTGGGCGAGGGAAAACATGGAAATTCAAAGTCGGTTCCGTTCGCTCGGGATATAACATTGAATTCGGAGTGATTGTCGAGCGAGAGGTGGTAGGGAGGATACGCGCCCGAGAATGGAAACGACGAGGCGTGCAAACGAACGCGAATTTTCATTAATCATACAGAAGATCGAAATTAACGCTGCCGGTCGCTGTTACCGCTAACGCGATATTCAGCATATATAGCTGCCTTTTGAAGGAATCCTATGCGCGTGTTGGACGGGCAGCGTGCTCGGTACCATGTACGTATGTACGTGCGTGTGTGTACTCTGTGCTGGCGTTGGCGAATTCGCAAAGCGATGGCAACGTCAGAGGACCAAGGGAAGAGGGAGGGTAATTCATTGTACGCGATAGCCGCGGGGGGAGGGGGGGTTTATCGATGAACGCCCATATGCAAGCATGCTCGCACTGAATTACCTCAATTCGGGGGAGTAGACGCCTACCGTGGATGCGGTCCTGACTAGCGTAAAACACTCATCGAATAATTTTGCCCCGCACACTGTACCCCCGTATTTTTTTTTTTTTTTTTTCGCGTCCTGGCCAAGCTACTTTTCAGGCTCAAATTAATCCACGTCACATTCCCGACAGCCGCTTATGATTCGCGCAAATGGCTTTGTCCCTCGTGCGCAGCGTTTGTTTGGAGAAATCGGATACCACGAGAGCTTTTTTCCCCAACAAACTCGACGTTTTCATTACGCAGGGAGATAGAGCCAGTCGTTTTGATCGGATCCTTTTATTCCACCCTGTCCCCTCCTGTTCCACTCTTTTTGGAAAAACCATCTCGATGGGAGGAGATGGGGCGCTCTCGAGAGTTGATGCCAAATTAAAACTTCAGCTCGGTATTTTTGTGTTTCTCCCCGCTGACGTTTCTTGCATTTGAAATTAATAAGCCACCGCTGACGTTTGCTCTGTGACGGCGCGGACGCGCGTTGGTAGATTTTTTTCCGCGTTTAAGATTTTTCAGGAGGGGGGGCGGGACTTTGTGCTCAAGCGCTGAAAAAATCATCTCAAAAGCCGTTTGAGTGTACCGGAGCTCTTTTTACCTACTGTACCGAAAATTTTATAATCACCCCAGCATTACGGTGAGCGTTTAATTGCAAGCCAGTAGTTAAAATCTTTGTATACGTATGCGTGTATGCACCGAATATTATGAGCATCAAAACAAATGGAAGCAAACAAAAGATGCAATGAGAGAGATAAAGAGTGCATCGGACGATTAAACACGCGCGGCTATACCGTCTCTCGACGATGTAACATATATACCTCCATGCATGACATATACAATCTACAGCGTCGACGATGTCGGTAGCGATAGCACATGGAAATCTTCCAAGAGCAATTAGCCATTACGGGGTCGATTGAGCCTCGGTGGCAACGAGGCAGTCAGTCGCGCGTGCACTGCACACTCGCGCGACCATCTCTGAAAAGCACCGTCGTATACGTGTACCTACAGCCACGTTTACTCTACCGCTCTTTCGACGGAGTCATCGGAGTGTCTAGTCATGCGTAAGAATTTGCCCAACCCCTTCTCCCCCCCAATGCCAGTAAACATGCACACGAGCGTTGGTATGCCATTTCGCGTAATCGCCAACATATAGATGGATGGACGGATAAATGTTTCCGAGTATAGGTGTACATCCGTGTGTGGGTCAAAGTACGTTTAGGCATATAGAATTACAGTGGCCTTTACTGTAGGACAATAAAATGATAATGCTTTGCTGTAGTCATTTGTATTTTATTTATCATTAATTATTTAGCATTAGTTTGATGTTTCCTTCGTAATTATCTAATTTACCGTTTTTGTTTCCTTATTCTCGTAGCCCTTCAGTTTATTGCACTAACGTAGGACTGTTGTATCCACGTTTTCTCAATTACATTTATAAGCACTTACTTGCGTGCTATTACTTATTAATACCTTATTTTATGTATGATGTTAGATAAGTTAAACCTAATACCTTTTTTTGTTTCCTCCGCTGCACCTTTCTTTCTTACAATGGATGTATCTGATAAATTTATTTTTCCTCGCCACTTTATTCCCCTTTTTTTCGCTTACAGTACCTATCAGTATTACCTTAGCCGCTGCCATGAACTTTCTTGGTATATACAGTCACACTTTCTGTTTTATCATCTTTGCTTTTGACTTGATCCAAGTGGGATTAATCCTTTCTGATCTCTTGTACTTTTAAAATTTTTATATTTAACTCTGATCGAAGTAAAGTGGTGCCATTCTGCCATTTAACGGATAAAAAAATAGTATAAATTTAAACAAAGAATAAAACGCAAAGATAAACATTCGAATAACTAAATGAATAAACAATCCCACAAAAAATTCCGAGACATTTGTTTAACAATTAGAGACAAAAATGTAATTGCAAAACTTTTGCTCCCATCACGGTTATCCGAAATTTTTCAGCGTGGGTTGTTTCGCGAAGACTCATCGCCTACACTCTCCGTCGGCCGCCATACTGCAGCTGGCAGTAGTTGCTACCTGTCAATAAAAAATTCAAGCCACACGTGTCGCCTGTCACTTGTCGAGAACGTGCCCCACGAGTGTGTATATAATACCAGTCCACGGAGCCGTCAGTTATTATTTAGCGAACAACGAGCAAACGAACGTATACCATACCTTTTCTCGTATCGTCGGATCAGCACAGCTGTCGGTTCTCGTTTCATGCGGCCTGGCTCTCGGTGGTAATGCAACCCCTCTTCGTCTCATCTCCCGAGAGCTGAGCAAGCTTTTCCTCTATTCTCGGAGCTTTGAGCTTTTTTTCCCCCTTGCCCTCTCTCCCTTCCTTCCTTCTCTCGCTCCCCCCCCCCCCCCCCTTTTCCTTGTCTTTGTTGAAGAACCGTGATATGGGGAGAAGCAGCACCAACGGCTGCAGTGCTGGTAGTAGAGAAAGAGGGCTGATGGTTGTGGTGCTCAATTTAATCTCAGAGGAGAGCTGTTTGATTAACTCTAGGATCTCGCTGGTGCCGCTCTTACTCATCTCTCTGTGCTTATCCTGATGCACAACTCCTTACTCATTCCTCTTGTTTTTTTTTTTTTTTTTTTTTTTTTCTTTTTTTTTTTCCTTTTTTTTTTTTTTTTTTTACTTTCTGTCGTTGTTGTTGTTGCTGTGTTTCTTTAAAGAAAGTGCTTGCAGCTACGGGCGGCGGTAATAGCGGTAGTTCTGATAAAAGCTCGGGTCGAGTTCTGCTACAGCGTTTTAATTTCGGTTTATTGCGCTCCACGGTGATATAACTTGCCAGTGGCTCTTGGTACGAGCTGTTTTGCCGAGTCGAGTGGAGAGGGAAAATATTGCATTTTTCCCAGCAAAGGAACTTTAAGCTGCGAAAATTTTTGAACTCTCGCGCTTTGAGTGTGTTCACGCGCTTGTACGGTTTTACAGGTGCTTAAGTGACGCGGTGATTCGTTTGTTTAAGCTTTCTCTGAGATATTACTTATTTTTATCAGTGGAATTTTTGGCGTAAAATGAAACAAGTGTACTACTATACCGCAATAGCCATCTCTTGATACATGTTATTGAAGAAACGCTGGGGGGGGGAAGATTTTCTTTAAAAAAAACATCCAAATAGGCTTCCTTTTCGTGACTATTTATTATTTTACACAAAAATCTTGAAAAATGTTATAAAAACGCCACTTATTGAGACACATGCTTTGCGTATATCTTTGATGCATCTGAACGTTATTTACGCGACCAACTGCTTGCTCACAAATAACTCTCACGCTACGGATCGACTTACAAGGAACGTTTACCCAACAACAACCAAAGCATCCATTGAAATTCACTTTCAACAACGCGTCTATTTGAAAAAAAGGAAAAAAACCAAGCTTCGTCAAGATAAACAAAATTCAAAAGCTCCTCTGAACGAGATCGTCCCTTTCAAAGGAAACGCACGCTATTACTTCTTATATAGTAAGCCATGGTCGGGGGGGAGCAACTGCTTCAAAATTCATAATCCCGGTGAGCTCGAAAACGCATTTGATTACCCGTCTTGGCTGAAAAGCTATTAGCGGCCTTGCAGAAAAAGCCATTTTCCCCTCACCCGAGATATACCCCTGAAAGCGTACAGATGCCAGAGGAGCAGAACTCTTAGTGACGTAGGGCGAGCTTACGGAAGTTATATATTTATCACAGGGAGGCTCCAACAATCATTCGTCCATCACCCCTTGGTTACGATATTTTACAGCACAGAAACCGCGTGCACGTGAAAAAGAGGGTATCGGAAAGACGTGTGGGCGAAGAACGATACACGACAAACAGAGAGAAAGAGAGAGAGGGGAAAAAAAGGGGGATGAAAAATTTCACGTCTACGTACCACTGAGCCAGGTGCCGTTGAAGCTTTTGGTGGATAGCGAGCCGTCGAGCCACTCCTCGAGCGATATGCCGCTCGGGCCCGGAGCCTCGCTCCTCGAGGCGTCCCTGGCACTGGCGCCCGTCAACACGGCAGCTGCCGTTAGCGTGACCACGAGCACGAGCAGCACGGCGGTGAGCAGACCGGCCAGCAACAACCGGCGCGTGCTCCAGCCCGCGCTCTTCGTCATCAGCTCCTGGAAAATAAAGTTTTATCATTTATTATTATTTTTTTTTTCCCACCCTTATCGCTCTTTCGGGGAAGCGTGGACTGTGGGTTTTTTTTTTTTTTTTTTTTTTATCAGCTATTCCGGGAGATGCATAGTAACGGCGTACACATTGATGGGGCGCGTGGTGGGCGATTGAAGATTAATACTCGCAGTATGAGACGGCCGGTTCCATTGAGCCGCGGAGGGGGTACTTTTATCGCCGTGAATATCTCTTTGTGGGGGGACGAGCTTTGAGCAGCAAATATTTTCAATACCGAGTTACGCGCGCTCGATGGGCAGATACGCGTGTTGTGGGCCGATGCGTCACGCACGCATTACGATTAGTTTGACGTCATTTTTCATTTTTCGAAATGTTTTTCCCAGCTCTTTCACGTCCAAAAGTTATCGGTGTTACTGCGCACGGAGAATATTTATTAAATTTGAAAAATAACAAAGGAAAAAAAAAAAAAAGAAGAAGAAAAGTGTAATCTTTGTAATCAAAATCCAAACGTGTCATTCAATCTCGTAAAGTGTAGGGGGCTGTTTTAAATTTTGCAGGCACGAAAGAATTTGACGAGAAAGCATTCAATTGAATCACGCGAAAATCCAATTCATTTGCCCCACAAGCACTTCGTGTTCGGTAGGAGAAAAATAATGCCCTCGAGGGCCTCGGTCGTTTGACGAGGATAGTAATAATAAAAATAACAATAATACCCTCGTGGCTGGCACACTTCCCGACCTCATCGGCCGCGCATCAACACGTCCCGAAATAATAAATATGAAATCTCATCCGCGACGACTCGCGCGCGTCTCCCACACGTGCCCCGGCGTCAAAGTCACATGAGAAATCAGCCGTGCGCTCTTCTTCTCTTATCATTTTCCCCTCCACGTGTGCACCCATTCCTCCGCACGCCATCGTCTTATCGATTCTTCTCTTTTCATCCAACGCCTCAACCCCGGGACCCAACGCATCTGCGGCTGGCACGTACTCGGCTCTCCTTCACGTCTGATTAACTTTCCACCCTCTCTTTTCCTCCTTTGACGTAATCCTTACTCTCGCTCTCCTTCGCGAAAGACCTTTTTTTATCCCTCCCCTCATCTCCTTCATTTTTTTCCACACCCCCCCCCCCCGATACAATCGATGCATACCGACGGCTCGGTAAAACAAACGAGAGCCAGGAGAGTTTTATAAAATAGCAATACCAACGCTACAAAATTTGAAGAAATTTTCTCGAAATTGTAGTTGATTGTTTCATTTTACCAAGCCGTCGGTGTATCCGTGCTACTCCTGTGAGTTACTGGCTCTCTTTTGGACGGAAATTCAAGCTGACGTTATAATTCGGACGAAGCAACTTCGCGTGTGTTGTTAATCGTCGGAAACAAATTGAACGAGGGGGAAGAGATGGCCGGGGTCGTGATGAAAACTGCTCATCTAATTGACAGCTCTAATTCACCCCCGGTGATTCGAATTGCATTGAAATAATTCCATTAGTCGATGTTCCCATGGCGGAGATAGAGTCCAATCTACCTTGTCGTTGGTACAACAAAATATGTGACGATGGTATAGCCATTTGTTGACAATATCGAGAGAGTTTACCCAGCTGATACGATTTTCGTCGCGAATCAAAATCTGCCCGTCCAATCGATAAATGTACCAATAAAATAATTATAATAACTCATCGGCATAGTTCTCTGGACAATTAACGAGTTGGCGCTTTGTTGAACAAATTGATTAGCAAACATCGTCAATGCCCCGAAAACAACGACTCCAAAATCAAGGAGGCAGTCGTCCAATGTACATTAAAAGCTCCGCTATATTTATTCGGAAACGGGGCGTCTGTGACTTTTCCATTGGCAGTAGGAGGCGGATTACCCCCTCACGACACCTGTTTCATTTATTTTACGTTCGGCCTCTCTGGCGCGGCGCGATCGATGCCTCGCGCACTACAAACCTAAGACTGTGTGCCCGTCCGAGCGAGCGAGGGGGCGACGGATAGAGCCGCTCGTGATTGCGCGTATAAAAATAAAGGTAATAACGCCTCCTCCGTACAGGCGGTGGCGCTCCGGCACAGTCGAGTGAAAGGGGACCAATCGAGAGTATGAGTTTATCGAGAATTGGATTTCAACTACGTCCGGAAAAATAACAGTTGTCCGGGGGTGAGCGTGCAATCGGTGTGACTTGTACTGCGCAGTGGCGGGAAAAAGTAAAAGAGGCAAAGAGGAAAAGATCGAAAGGGGATGAGGAGATGTCAAGTCTCGGGAAAGTTGAACTTTTCATTTGTGTGTGTGTGTGTGTTTTTTTTTCTCGATGGAAATTTAATTTTACCCTGGACGTCTGCTGCGATGTACGGGTTGTCCTCCTTGTAAGAACCGCGTGGTTGGGGGAGGAGACGAGGAAAAAAAGACAGCGGATGATTAGTAATTGAATTCCGGTCGGTACTAGGTGGAGGAGAAATTATGCACCTGTGCTTTTTACTGCATGGGAGATACATAGAATCGTACAAAATAACCATTCGTTCCTACTTTTTTTACTCGGGGTGTTGCGTACAATGCACTTTTGATGGCTGGAGTCGATTTTGCCGAAACACCCGTGTCGGATGAGCGAGGTGGGTGAAATTGGGTATTAAAAGTGATGGGCGTACGCGGGAATGGCAATCGTCACGATAAATTGATACGCTCGAATTTTCCTGTCACTGCCAAGCTTTGGTAATATTCGTGCTGTCTATACATTAGGGAAATTTCATTTTTTGGCGAGGAAATAAAAAATTATTAAATCGTTTCATCTCACGTGCAGAATTTGCCAATATTTAAAATACTAGTCTTCTTGTTTACGATTATATTTTTAAAATCGTGTCGTGGATCAGTCTTTGAGTATTAAATTTTATTTGCAATGAAATTATAATTCAACCATCAATCTCGATTGGCTGACACAATAATTAGTATGACATTTAAAATCGACAAAAGTAAAGGATACAACGTTTATTTTTAAAATCCACGGTACCGACAGTTTTGAAATTTATACTTTCGAAAAATCTCCAAAAAAATTCCACAGAATTGCATCTCGTGAAATTCTTCTGGTTTTCTTTTTGAAAACTTTTCCTGTTTCCAATCACAATTCAAAACAGTTTAATCTCCCGAATCGAGGATCGAAAGTGTTAACTGCATAGTCGGCCAATCCGATCTCTATAGAGATACGCCTTTCCTGTTCTCAAGCGATCGCTTTCTCTCTGAATTTCCCATTAAAGCAACAACTTATAACGGACACGTGCAACGTCCGTAAACCAAAATCGAAGTTAAAGTTTCTATCTCCACGTGCGTGGCAATAACAACGAGAATTAACAGTCGTTGAGACGCGGTGGCGGCTGCCGCGCCTATCGCGTCGATTATTCGGATACCGATTTATATAAATCCCGAGCGCAGGGGTGGCGTTAATCTTACGGAAGTTTCCAAAGGCCAAGTATGTACCTAGAGAGCTAGAGATAGAGAGAGGAGGTCTTCTGGGACCCACTAAGGCTTTTCCCCGAGCGTCACACATATGCCCCGCAAGCTCTCCCCTGGCGCCCGCTCGCAAGCACACACGCGCGTGGCAAAGCTTTCTCTGGACTTCAGCCGGAACTCTTGAAACACGCGAAATCGCTCGTCCGGTCCTATAACTCCCACTGCCACCGCTTTCAGTTCACACGGTGGGAGGAGCTTGCAAGCTCTAATGGTAATGCTGACTAATTTACAACGCTCGAGCGAAACTTTGCGCGAAACGAGAAAAATGGGAACAGGAGACTTTCAGCCGAATTAACCTTCCCGCGTGCCAGGTACCCCCTCCCCCTTTTTTTTACTTTTACTGTCTGCTGAATAAATTAATGAGCGCTCTGGAAACGTGGTTGGGGGGTGGCGAGAGGACACACCAAGTGACCCCTGTATTGATGATGGACTGTACTGGAGTTAAGCACGAGTTTTTTTTTTCTCGCTACCACCAGTAGGAGTAGCGGTGAAAGAGGATTACTGACAGTGACGTTATTAGGTTTCTGGCTGGTTTATTGAATTTCTTTTTCTTTCTTTTCTTTACTCTTTAGATTTGTTAAATTATTGGTACCAGCTGAAGCTCGTTATCCATCTTAACGACTAATTGAAAATTGTAAATTGTTTTCATCGAGACCTCACAGAAAGATGTTTTTGTTTGCCTACATCAGTCACATTACCATCCAGATATTGGGATGTGGTCGTCCATAATGATGTAGCTCCTTTGATAGTATGATAAATGACACTTTATACAACGTATGTTAACTTTTGTCGAACCATTGGATTATAAAAGCCCACGTGTACGTGCAATTATGCAGCTCGTATAATCTTGAGCTACAAGTAAACATTTAGGAATTCCTGCAGAACCATTGGAGTGGAGGGAAGTATGGGGTTTGTTCTTGAAGCTACGTTGTACTAAGACGCGCGGCTTAAGCGAAAGATACTTCGAGTCACTGGCACTCCGAGATTGAATGTATACGTACAACGTGAGATTGTTTCCGAATAATTAGAGCGCATTGAGTTTGCTGTGTGCTGTTGTGAGCATTACACGGTCTAAATTTCATGGCATGAAATTGATTGTAGGGGAAAAGCAAACAAATTAAAGAAGGAGCGATAAAATGTTCATTCAGTCGTAATGAAAGTCGGCGCTGAAAAAAATCGAATGACGAAAAAAAAAAAAAAAAATGCGTCACCGCTGCAAGTACAAAAGCATATACGTATACGATAGAGCAGATGGTCCTCCGCGAGCGCAAGCAAAATATCGTTCGCGATGAAAAAAGACCGACGGAAAATAAATGCGCCAGAGCTGGCGGTGGTTGGAGCGGTGAGGGTTGAACGGCGGCGCAGCTGGCAGCAAATGCACTGTGCGGCTTTCCACTCGGGAGAACCGAAATTGTGGGCTGGACAGTAGTACCAGCAGTATAGCTTTGACCCTCGGAAGCTATGCCGAGTGGAAAGGCGCAGCGGACGGG